TTAGATTATCATAACCTCGAGCTTAGACACACCCTGTATATATCATAGTATATGAATGAAAATGCAAAACATTTTTAGGAACATCTAATAAAATTGTAAAGCGATGTGAAAACAATCAAATCTGTTATGTGTAACCACCATATGATCATAAAAATTTCTCCAAATATCTCCAATAATAAAAAAGCAATCGCACTGATATATAGGTATATTAGACTAAGATGTTGGTTGAAAAGGTGAAATTATAATGTATTTAATGCTAAAATAATATACAGGGTGATGAATTTTAAAAAAATTGAGTAAATTGGACTTAAAATGAGCCATATTTAAAACACTCCATAAAATGAACGTTAATATTCGTTAGCTTGGTCCTAATGAGTCTGTATTTTAAATAACTTTAAAATAAAAAAAATAAAATGAATAAAACTCAAAGCCCCAATATCACATAAAATACCAACGACCGTTGTCTTTCCTTCGGATATAATTCAATACCTGTTGCGGTATTAGCCAAATGAGTAGTTGTTTTCTGAAGGGGAAACGGTCGTTGGTATGTTATGTGATACTGGCTTTGAGTTTTATTTATTTTATTTTACGTCTATCACATTTGAGTTTGATTTATTTTCGTATTTAACTTTAAAATTATTGCTAACCTACATAAATATGATAATTTTGTTCGTGGCCTTCATAATTCTCTAATTTTACAAAAAAAAAATTAATTGCTTCGCAACCCTGTAATACTTTTTAAAAATTTTCTATGGTTAAATACAGTACTTTCATGCCATTTTTAAACTTAAATAAAATATAGGGTATTCCATTTATAAAATATATATTTTTACTTTTCAGAAAAAAGTGTATATCCAAAATTATTTTTATATTATATGTTTTAATAACTTTTATTTAGTGTTAATTTAAGTTTAAGTCTCGTGCTTTCGTCGTAAATATAATATTTATCATGTGTATGACTTAATTTTTTGGAAATATTCACCTCTTAGTTGCTACAAGAACATCTAGAAATATGTATTTACTAAACTCAGGACATGTTTTATTATGTGGTTTAAAGGACATTGAAGGTACCAAACGCTTATTATTGATGAACTTATTTAAAAATCTTACTAGACTTATTCTTATACTATGAAGTGAATTATGTAGTACTTTGTATACATGTAAATGATAATAAAACCGTCACAAATCATATTACAGTTTGATTCTAAACAAAGTTTTGCAAAATTTCAATATTTTGAATTTGTAGATATCTATTTATCATAAAAAACAAAATTTTACGACTTGCACTTGGAAAATAATGAATACTTCAGTTTTGTTTTTGACATTAACACCATATAGATTGCAATTTGCTGGGGAATTTTTCGCAGATTTCATTTTTAATATAAACACTATCACATACTATAAGAAATAAACCAATTTAAAGCTAAAAAGTAAAAAAAAACTCGAATTGTAATTGATACAAATTAAAATATAAACAATGAACACGAACGCCAATGTTGCTAAATGATGAACTGATTTTAAAACAAAATTAATAAATGAACTGAAATTTATAAAAAATCAATATAATTAATCGGTATTATAAAAAAATCCTTAAATAAATATGGAGTGTGATTACATATTACTATACACAAATTTTGATTCTTAAATAAAAGGTCTTATCCACTTCTTCAAGAGCTAAAATCCGACGACGTAGCGAAATTTTGCTACTTCTGGCAACAAACGATATCCTACTTATAGGGACCTTCTACAAATTTCCTCCTAACTTAGCTTGAATGGCGAATACCGATAGGCCAGAGCGTGTAGTTGACATTAAAGCTTGAGCAGCGAAAGTACTAAAGATGTCTCTCTCATTAATATATGGATTTTACCAGACGTCTTACAAGACGTCTTCATATCGTCCTGGGACATTGAGACGTCCTGTGCTATCTGGGATATTTCAGAGTGAAAAGTGTGTTCAGAGCTGATGCTGGATGGTAACGCGATTTATCGCTGTGGCATCGCGACGCGCGACACTCGACGCTCCTACTCTGAACGCAAAGTATTTTAAAATATGAGTTTTTTGTCTGAATAAATTCAAATTGAAAATATATACGTTTACATTAAGTACTGAATTAACTAACATTGTGACGATATTTTACCATTGTCATGAAAAGAGAGACATCTGAAGATGTAACGATGTTCTTTAAACCATTTTAGAAGCATTTTTTGTTTTGTGATACCGTTGAGCAAATAATAAGGCAGTTACAATGGTACAACTAAAATGAGCCATTATTACGTGTTAAATGAGAGGAAATTCAGAGAGGTGACATTTCGCGACAGGAGCGCACAGCGGTTATTTTAGTATTTAAGTTGTGACTTTTTTTTTTTTTTTTCGTAATAGATTCCTACAATTTTTGTTGAAAAGTAGCGATAATTAAAATTTTACGCTTTCCTCAAATTTTTCCATTTGGTCCATTTTTAACCGACAAAAAAGGAGGAGGTTCTTAATTAGTCGTAATATTTTTTTACTATATGTTCAGCGATAATTTTTTAACACGGTATCCGATTTTAATAATTCTTCTTTTGTTAGAAAAGGGGTACTTCAATTTGGTCAAAATTTAATAACACTGGCCGACCAGATTTTTGTAACACAGGTCAGACTTTTATTTTTAAAATGAAAATACCCTTCTAAAACCGACTTCAAAAAAGAAGGAGGTTATCAATTTGTCCGATTTTAATGATTCTTTTTTTGTCAGAAAGGGGGTATTTCAGGGGTGGTCCCATATAAATTTAGTCAAAATCTAATAATTGGGTCCATGAGAAAATCCTCAAACTCTTCATTTTTTATGTATGTTCAGCGATAATTTTTTAACACGGTGTCCGATTTCAATAATTCTTTTTTTGTTAGAAAGGGGCTACTTTAGGGATGGTCCCATATAAATTTGGTCAAAATATAATAATTGGATCCATGAGAAAATCCTCAAACTCTTCATTTTTTATGTATGTTTAGCGATAATGCTTTGCCACCTTGTCCGATTTATACGATTCTTTTTTTGTTAGTAAGGGGGTACCTCAGGGGTGGTCCCATATAAATTTGTTTAAGATATGGTGATGGCATCTGCACGTTTTTGAAGTCGGTTTTTTTAAATTTTTAATTTGTAATACTTGTAGCTTTATGTATTTGGCATATCGTCTCACTCGTGTTAGGCTCACTCATCATAATGCGCCACAGACACAGTATACTTAAATATACTGTGACACAGAGACGCGATTAGCCAGAGGACAATGATGTACAAAAAAATATAGATTAACACGTATGAAAATAAAAATATTAAAATTAAATTTATATTTTTATGTTATTTATGTAATGTTAAAATAATGTGTTTTTATGAAATTTAACTGGGTGTTCACTGCACAAATGAACCAATGGAGAAACCGCCCCTGTCCAGAACTCTTCCAGAACCGTCGGAGCATGCACATTAGCTATTCGCTGTTTTGGTTTTGCCAGAACTAGTTCCGAACTTGTAAGTTCTATGTTTTGGTATTTCTTGGGAATGGTTCCATAACTATTCTCGAAGAGTAACTTCGGTTCAGGCCCAACGCGAGATCTGTTTCAGAATTGATATTTTTGCGCTTGCGCTTTTTCAATTAGTTTTGTTTTTGGGATCCTGGCCATGTTTTGTGTTGGAATTATTACAAGAAATTTTCGAATGACTAATGAGAATTGAGCAGTTGATTAGTTGATGTTGGATCATAAGATTTTTTATAAATAAATTAATTTATCTACGTTTTACAATATTATATGGCCTCTTTCTAACTCAGAAACTAACCCTGTGTTATTTCTTCTTTTTTATTTATAATTTACTTTTTGACATTTAATTGTTCTGGTAGTGTTTTGGTTTCGAGTACAAATGGAATGGTTACAGAACTGTTCAGTATTAAATACCATTGCACAATAGTTGTGCGCATGGTTCTGAAACAATTCTAGGACGTGAACCAAAACAAATCTTTAGTTAGGAGGTAGAATATTGATTTATTATTAAGTGGTCGTGGACAAAAATATATAATCGAAACCATTTTAAACTTAGAGAGAAAGCCCACTCATGCGACACGTCGCGCGCGACTAATCGCGAGGCACTGCGTGCGGCAATACTTTAGATGTTTTTAAATGACTCAAAGCCCATTAACGCGATTCTGTCGCATGGTCGCACGCGGCTGATAATTAGAAATAACAAGCCCGCAATTTTCCTGCCGCACGCGGCCAGCGTTATCATGGATTCATATGGAGCATCACTCATACAAACGTCAAGTCGCGTGCGAAATGCCAGTTGAGAGTTGGAGTTTCCTGTTAACTTTTCGACAGTTCCAGTGAAAAAATGTCCGACAGTTGTATTGATATAGATGAATTTATATCCGATATTCAAGACCGACCGGGAATCTGCGCTAATAGTTCGTCAAATGACACTACTCTCATTTTGAAATATTTGAAGAACTTATCTTCGTGTTGACGTAAATCCTTATGTAATAAATTAAATGCGCCATTTACATAAGGATCTAGATAGAAGAATAGATGAACCCAGTACCTACGTCGTTTCAATTTTTTCCGCCGACGAACAGAATAAAACAACACCGTTACTACTTCTTCCACATCTATTTTGATACTGAACGTCTGCGTCGCTGCTTGTCGTCTGTTAAAAATCGCACCTAAAAAATCGCATGCGGCAGGTCGCGCGCGACATGTCGCGTGAGTGGGCTTTCCCTCTTAGAGGGTCAGGTGGTTAGACCGTATTTTAATATCTTATAAGAAGAATTAAGTAACAATGTTTAAAGGAATACAGATGGAGACTTAGATTACATTAATTAAAACATAAGATAATAAAACAAAAGAATCGGGAGTCAGCGAATAGAGAAGAGCGGCATAGAAAACAAAAAATACAGAAATCTTAGGAGATTAAATGAAAAAAAATTATGTTAATCTTTAATAATATAGTACTAATAAAGTGTTTTTTTTTTTGTTTCAGTCTTTGTCAACAGGTCAAAATGCCGGTCATGTTTCAGTAAGCGCACGTGAATCCAATAGGTTCACGGTAAACATCAATGTGGAACCGCTCAGTAAAGTGTCTTTTTCCTTGAACTACGAAGAACTGCTACAAAGAGAAAATAGTCAATACGAAATAATTACAAATATTCAACCGGGGCAAATAGTGAAAAAACTAAAAGTAGAAGTAAGTATGACAGTGTAGTTAAAAAATTGCGAATGAGATACCTAAAGGCCAAGAGCTCAAATTTGAGAACATGAAATTTAAAGTTCGCAGGTAATTTTTCATGGTATAGTTTATTGTTCCCTTTTTTAGACGATCTGAAAACGTCACACATGGGTACACTTAATTACACGAATCTCTAATAGAACCAGGCAAAATTTTTAATTTGTTATTCATTTAAGGGTATATAATCTCAATTATTAGAATTTTAATAATTACTGTAACGGGTCACAGTGTATTTAAAAAATCGCGATATCGCTCAACTTTACGTTTCTCTAAATTGACTTGTATATTTTTAAGGAATAACATGTAGGTAGATATTCAAAGATGTTTTCTGAATACAGATGTGAAAGTAATTTAACTTCAAATGTCTAAAATCCTCATATTTTATTACTAATTTTATGACGTGAAAATTCGAAATTTTGTTCTATTCATAATAGTCCGAAAAACTCAACTTTTCGTCTGCAGACCATATTGGGAGATTATAATAAGACCTTAGATTAAAGAGACCAGATATGTAACATACAACAGTGTTTAACCTGCGTGAAAGTTGCCAATTTCTAAGAAAAGGTTAAAGGAGTGGGGGAACTGGGAGGAGACCAGAGCTCTGTCGCAGGGGCGGCCTTGGTTTATTAGCATCATCATGAACTATTAGAGTTTCTTAAAATATGTTTATTGGAATGTTGTATTATGAAATAAAATTAATGTGATTTTTTTTAATATCGAACAGATGCAACGACATTTTATGTAGAGAGGACAAAAGTTATTTTATAGAATAATTAGCGTTTATTTACTACGAACTTTTTTGCAAGAGACTACAATAAAATGTTGAAATAGAATATTGTTAATCGAGCAAGGAATGATACTTGCCAACGAGTATTATACTCGCAGCATTTGTCGTAGGCAAATATTGTAAATTTAGAATATATATATATAGTCAGGAAGAAGGAATCCTAAACGACCTTGGAATCGCGATGGTATCTAATTTTGACAGTGAACTAGACGAATATGGGGACAAGTGTTTCCGGTCTACCAGTGTCATAAATGGGTGTAAAAAAGAAAATAATAAATTCTTATTTGCATATTATCTAAATTTACCGATTTATCTCATTTTAATGAATTGCTATTTTCTTGCAAGAAGTTTGCATTTTTAGTTATTAACCTTCATTATGTGAATAAATTTTGCTTTAAAATTGCATGTTGGGTGGGATAAATATAGGAAAATATTTTTCGGATAATTTATAGAGGGATTTCATTTGAAAAATCAAAGCAATATGTATTAAAAAAAATATTGACTTTTTTACGTCTTTATTATGACAATGTCTTTATTATTATTATTATTATTATTATTATTATTCAGGTTTGAAAAATAAATATGTTTTGTAGATATGCGTTAAATAAATTAAATATCCTATACTTATATTTAGGTCAAACACCGCTGTGATATTTCTTTCTTAGATGTTTTTGTTGGAGTACATATAAAACTTTCTAATATCGAAGAGAATTTCTGATCGTTTTATTTCATAATATTATTAGTAATATTTTTTGCAGGACAATTTTGCATAAGCAGGTTAAATACCTTTCCAAGAAAGGATCCTATAACGTTATAATGATTCTATGAGTGGGTGAGGTTTTATGGGTTTTACTCACCTATAAGTCAAATGGCACCATCAATTATCTTTAAGTCGCCCCGGAGCGCCACAGCAAATAATAATAGCCGTCCCTTTCCCCGCACAAGCTCAGCTTTTGGGGTTAAAATTCACTCGTAAGGGGGTGAATTAGGGAGAGAATTATTATTATTTTTATTATGAGTGCAAAATAGATTTTTAAATGTACATTCAACGTATTATTTGTATGCTCAGTCCAGTTATGATGATAGTTAATTTGTACTCTAAGATATTTAATATCATTTGTAAAACTTATATGAAACTACTGAACGTTACCTTTTAGTGTTTCTATAGGAAGAAGCCTTTTTTTGTAACTGTATAATGGAACAACATAAGTTTTATCAAAGGTTTGTAAGTCTTTATAATTAAACCGTTCGAAAAATTTTATAAGATCTATTTCTATTAATAATTTTAATCAATTCCAGTTCTCTGCATTTTACAAAATAACTATGTCGTCTGAAAAACATACAATATTTCCATCTGTATTTAAACGAAAAATTATTTAAAATAAAATTAAACAAGATAGGACCTAAGACTATCTTGAGGAATGCGATATGCTACTTATTTCCTCACTTGAGATATTATTAATTCTATTTGTGTTCGTTTTTGTAAATAACTTTGTAATAAATTATATAGGGTGCATCACATTTATACAATAAACTTCTATTATACGAAAATAAAGGCACATGATATAGTTAGTAAATAATTTATTTACTTATATACTTCAACCGGACCACTTTTATTGTTGGAACAGCTGTTGGTAGAAGTCTTATTCTTGGTTTTGAGGTTAGATCAAAACAATCTGCTTTAAAATGGCGTGAACACAAAAAATTAAGATATTTTAGCTCACAATTTGTTTGTTGCATGAACTGAAGTCATAACTTTGTTTTTTTGAGAATCTTTAGGAAATCTGAAAATTGAACAATTTATTTATTTTAACAACCACATAAATATTGCATAAAATAATTATTTAAATAAAAGTATGTATACAAACCATGAAACTACGGCTATGAGCACAGTTGATCGCAGGCGCACCATATTTGTTTACACATTTAAAACATTAAAAATTTTAAAAATCTTTAATGTGTTTGAAAATTGAGAGAAGAAAATACTTGCTTATGAAATGTAGATTATTCCTTTCTACTTTTAGCTGTGCTGCTATATCCATAAGACGAACAACTGGCCATATTGACTTGTTTGTCTTTTAACGCGGAAAATTTAAAATTAGCAGTAATACTAAATAAATACCAAAACAGTAAACACTTTTTAAAAATGTCTACAAAACATGATAAAAGTTTAAATTAACACATAAAACATCCAAATTATTAACAAATTTTAATCTCTAAAATTATAAACCAATTTTAGAAACCATTTATCATATGATGATGAGTCATCCATAGTACAACATACACTTTCGTCAGATCGATTAGATTAACGCGGACATGGCATGCTCCTTCCTAACTATATATGTTCTAAGATTGTAAATCAAACTATTAGGAAATGAGCATTCCTTGTAAGTTGAATATTATGTTTTTTCTACGGCCATTACGTAATAATAAAAATTAGTCGATATGAGAAAATGTTGTAACCTCAGATAAAGGTAGATATATTAAAGCGTTTTACTTTACGAATAATAAATACAAAGGATGTGTCACATTAATCGAAAATAATCGAATAATTAAAAAATAGATAAATCGATGTTTCTAAAAAAAAATCCGAATTATCGATTATTTAAAGTATTCGAATATTTTCGATTAATCGATTATTCTGAAATAATCGATTTTCTTCTTGTATTTCTTTTAAAATCGATTTACTGATTATATTTGAAAAAAGAAAATAGTCGAATATTCGAAAATTAAAAAACCTATAAATCAATTTTTCTAAAAAATTACTGAATTGTCGATCATTTTCAATTAACCGAGTTCCTATTTTCTTTAAAATCGATTTATCGATTTTATTTGAATAATCGAAAATAATCGAATATTCGAGAATAATCGATTAATTAAAAAAACCGATAAATTGAATTTCCCAAGAAATTACCAATTTATCGATTATTTAAAATATTCGAATATTTTTGATCAATCAATTATTTTCAAATCTCTCTGTTTTTTGTTAGACGATTTTTTTGTATTCTTTGAGTTTTGTGGTTCTTGACTTATTAAAGGATTTCCTAGCCATCTTCTTGAGGTGATTCAACACGTGACACTACCAAGCGGTAGTCGTCTGATCGTGTTGGACCAGCCTCAGAGGACAGCATTTCTTATAGAAATTGATTATTGGGTTTTGGATAGTGTTCGAGTTCTTCTCCAAAGCATTGTTACTGTTTGGTGTTTCAGTGTCTATCTCTCTCAGAGCCTCTTGGAGAAGATGGGCAAAGGTTTTCCGTCTTCCTAGGGTTACGAGGTAGCGTAAAGATCTGACATCGAAATCTTATCAGACTATCAGACACTTGCCAGTTTAGAATTGATTTATAGATACCAGTTGTGGATAAAGTGATATATATATATATATATATATATATATATATATATATATATATATATATATATATATTTTGTTATGATTTACACTGACACTTCATAACCTCACAAGTTACAAAAAATTTCATAAACTTATCTTACCTCGGCTAGCTTTTTAATATAATTTTTTTTTATATACAGAGCAGATTCTCTTTGTCCCAGTGGTGTCGGTTCCAGAAATAAAATACTTTATAAACTTAATTTATTTAGTTTATTTAATTATTTAATTTATTTTACTTAGTTTATTTAGTTTATTTGGTTTATTTAGTTTATTTAGTTTATTTAGTTTATTTAGTTTATTTAGTTTATTTAGTTTATTTAGTTTATTTAGTTTATTTAGTTTATTTAGTTTATTTAGTTTATTTAGTTTATTTAGTTTATTTAGTTTATTTAGTTTATTTAGTTTATTTAGTTTATTTAGTTTATTTAGTTTATTTAGTTTATTTAGTTTATTTAGTTTATTTAGTTTATTTAGTTTATTTAGTTTATTTAGTTTATTTAGTTTATTTAGTTTATTTAGTTTATTTAGTTTATTTAGTTTATTTAGTTTATTTAGTTTATTTAGTTTATTTAGTTTATTTAGTTTATTTAGTTTATTTAGTTTATTTAGTTTATTTAGTTTATTTAGTTTATTTAGTTTATTTAGTTTATTTAGTTTATTTAGTTTATTTAGTTTATTTAGTTTATTTAGTTTATTTAGTTTATTTAGTTTATTTAGTTTATTTAGTTTATTTAGTTTATTTAGTTTATTTAGTTTATTTAGTTTATTTAGTTTATT